TTTTAACTGGTGAATTAATTGATCAAACAAACAAAAAAAAAAAGGAAATACCTCACCGTGCCGGAAGTATGCTGACACTCACTTAATGGGAATGGACTTAACTTCAGCGGAGCAAACCGCCCTGGTCTTTCTGGAGAGGATATCGCAGAAATAGATTGCTGCCCGAGATGGCGCACTGGCTTATTTACAGCTGGACTTTGGACCAGACCATACCAGGTGTAGCAGTAATTGTTTGGACTGGACCAGACTGACCTGCTCTTGTTGGAGGGAGTTACTGTGGAAGTAACTGATATACGCTGAACAGAACTGCTCTTGCTGGATTTTGGACTGCTCTGAAGAAGTTTTACACAGGCTGAAAAGGACAGCATATAACAACAACAACAACAGCATTTATTTAAACACGATAAAAAATTCAGCAAAAGCTGATGTGGTCGTGCAATGATATGTGGTCGTGCATATGATACTGACTTTAATATCAAAGGACTGCACTCGACTGCACTCGACTGGAAGCACAATATAGCACGGGGCTGGAGAATTCCTGGACTAAACTGCAATTGTCTCTGAAAGTCTTTTGGACTGAAACGCATAACTGATACTTTTGTAACTGGAGCTAACAAGTAAATTTAACTCGGCCCATTAAACACATTTTATCACCTTTTCACCGGTCTGATCTACTGGCTAACTTCGCCTTTCAAGAATTTTTTTCAGCCATCAAGTTGACAATCCACTAAAAAAAAAAAAAGAAGTTGATAAGATACAAAATAGGTTGAAGTATACAACACTTATCTGCATACCAACGCTTAACCACGTCATTAGAATTCAGGGTGGAGTCCCACCAATGCTGCATACCAGCAACTTTAAAACACTCCATTCTTGAGAATTCTAATGCTGCACCTTCTCTCCAGAATTCTTACACCTGATTAATACCTGAATGAAACTTTTAAGCGTTCCAAGTTTCATCGAAGTCATCCGTAATAAGTCCTCTCTCAGATAATCTAAATGTCTGCTAAACAATAACTTGAGCAATTCGCACCTCCCCCTCTGCTACATGTTTCCTATCACATCATAGCATTTTGTCTCGTTGGGACAGAACTTCATAACGTGGGTGCTCATTTGACCGGACTGTTATGCATATGGCGTTTTACTGTCAAGTGACAATGTTATTTTGAATGGTATAACTACAACATACCTCCCATCCCTCTTTCAGCGGCAAACGTGTGCTCTCTCTTTAGGCTTTCTGGGACGGATCGATATTTTTTTTCTATTTGAGATAAAAGTTCACTTAGTACGTCGTTGTAATTCTACGACATTATGTAACTTTTACTTACCTGCTAAGCGTAGTGTTGTAATCATGTTTGCCATGATTACAACGTACCCACCTCACCCTACTCAGCAAACGCGAGTTCTCTTTCCGCTTTCTGCGATACATCAGCAGATTCTCTGTTTGGGACAACAATTTATTGGCACATGCTAATTCTTAGGAATATGGAAGCGTTTTACTTACCTTCCGAACTTACCTTTCGAACTTACCTTTTTAAAAAGATCTTGGAAAACTTTTCGATAGTGACCGCTGACCGAACCACGCGTTCTTCATTGCGACTTGTCAACATTTTCTTGTCTGGGACAAAAACACACTGAGTATATGCAAATTTTTACAAGCGTTCTACTTACCTGCCGAGTGATTATGTTGTAATCATGGTTATAATCATGATTAAAACATTTCCGACTTACCTCGATCTATCAGCAAACCACACGTCCTCTTTTCCTACTTTTAGCGACCTACCAGCATTTTTTGTCTGCAAAAAGAACTAATTCAGTACGTGTTAACTTTACAGTAATGTTATAGCTTTAACTTACCTGGGTAACCATGCAGTGACCCCCCGACAATGGGCATATTTTGAGTACGCGATCCCCGAAAATGGACATGAAGGCTGGAAAGCTTGTACACAGGTCTAACGCGAAGTGCATGATGACCCGTGCCCCCGAAAATGGGCAAATTTTATGCATGCGACCCCCGAAATGGACCTAAGTCTGGTACAAGGATCTAACGCGAAATGCATGATTACCAGCGCCCCCGAAAATGGGCACATTTTACGCATGCGACCCCCGAAATGGACCTAAGTCTG